GAAGGAAGGCAAAGAAAGAGAGAAAGAAAGGGGGAAAAGAAAGAAAAGGAAGGAAGGAAGGAAGACAAAAAAGAAAGGGAGGAAGGAAAGAAGGAAAAAAGAAAGAGGGAGGGCGGAAAAGAAAGAAGGAAAAGGAATGCAGGAAGGAAGGAGGGAAGGAAGGAAGGAAGGCAAAGAAATAAAGAGGGAGGGAGGAAGGAAGGAAAGAAGGAAAAGAAAGAAGGAAGAAAGGAAGGAAGGGAAGGGAGGAAAAATAAAGGAGGGAGGGGGAGGGAGGGAAAGAGAAAGAAGGAGGGAGAAAGGGAGGAAAAGGAAGAAGGAAGGAAGGCAAAGAAAGAGGAAAAGAAAGAAAAAGAAAGAAGAAAAAAGAAGAAAAGGAAGGAAGGAGGAAGGGACAGAAGAAAAAGAAAGAAAGAAAGAAAGAAAGAAAGAAAGAAAGAAAGACATTTTCACTCGGGGTGCCCTTTTTTCCCTTCTGCCATGCTGGGGGTGGTGGGGGGTGGGGAACCCTGCAGGCACTCCAGGAAAGCCCATTTGGCAACAAGAGCTTCTTTGGCACCCAGGGAAATGTGGGTGGGTGTCTCCCCCCCACCAGAGGACAATGAAGGCTCCATGTCTGGAATTTGAGAATGGAATGTCCTTTAAGGCCAACAACTCCTTGGTGCAGCCTGACCGTTGCAAGCTTCTCTTTCTCCAAACGCTCCGACAAATGGTTCCAGATTCAATAGCAGAATAAACAGAGGGGCACAATACGCTGGGTTGGGGTTTTTTTTTTTTAAATTCCCCCTCCCCTTCCTCTTCCCCAGAAGGTATTTCTACATTCTTGCTCCTTAACTAGCAGTTGCTATTTTAGTCTCTCTTCTCCTCGTTCTTTCAGTCTCTCCCTCCTTCCTCCTTTGATTTATCATGTCTCTTAGCAACAAGTTTCGGCACTAGAGGAATTCGCCTTCCATGCTTTCCGATTTTCCAGTCTTCTTTTGTTCCACTTCCAGCTCATTCCAAGGGATTCTCTTTTGTTGTTTTGCTTTATGTTTTCCTTTGGCCCCCAAATTTGTGTCGTCTTCTGACAACTACACAGGGCTCAGTCTGGGAGTTCAAGGTTTTCCTTTATAACTTATCTTACCCCAGAAAGATACCTGGATCAAGAGGCTGTGTGAAGTCCCAAATCTTGGCTCCTTTTTAAAATTGCAACCGATATGCCGCGTTGCCAGAGTTGGACCAGTGAGGGTGCCCTTCTTTGTGGATGTAGAATATAGAATGACAGAGTTGGAAGGGACCTTGGAGGTCATCTAGTCCAACCTCCCACCTCCCCAGCCCAAGCAGGAGACCCTACTACACCATTTCTGACCGATGGTAGCCCGGTTTCTTCTTGAAAGCTTCCAGGGATGAAGCTCCCACAACTTCTGAAGGCAACTTCTGTTCCACTGAATATAGAACAACAGAGTTGGAAGGGATCTTGAAGGTCATCTAGTCCAGCCCACTTCCCCAGGAGACCCTAGTACACCATGATTGCCCCTGGGTTTAGAGAAGGTCACTGTTTGAGGCATGTGGGGCTTAAATCAAAAGAATGGAAGATACGGTCAATGTTATTGGGTGAAGCTTCTAAAGAAAATCAACCTGGAGTGTCCTTTGGAAAGGCAGATCCTAGAAGGTGGAAACTCAAATAGTTTGCCCAACAAATGAGAAGGGAGTTCTCCTAGGAGTAGACCCTGGGAAAGATGGAAGGCAAAAGGAGAAGGGGGCAGCAGAAAGATGAGATGGTTAGATGGTGTCACTGACATGATGGACGTGGGTTTAGGTGGACAATCACCAGGAGACGGTGAGTTCTAGCCCCAACTTAGACATGAAAGCCGCCTGGTGACTTTGGGACAATGACTTTCTCCCTCTTTCAGCCCAGCTCACCTCACAGGGTGGTGGTTACGGGAAAAAGAGGACGAGGAAGGTGCACTGGGATAGCTGCGCTGCCTTGCGGTATTTTTAAGAATAATAAAGACAGGGTACACATAGATAAATAAAAAGTCAGAGGTGATTGGCCTGCTGTGCTGAAACAAGGGATGAAAAGACGTTTTGTTTCCTTTCTCATTGCAAGATGTTTAGGAACATTGTCTGTAGAACTGGAACGTGTACGGAGGAAAAACTTGTTGACCTGGGACATTTTTTCAGGCCATGGGTGTTTGGAATTCAGACCTGTTTTTCTGTTCAGCTTCCCAACTTGAGCAAGCTCTCTACATTTCTCGGACTTTATAGACTTGTCTCTTGAAATATTTAAAGTGATCTTGTTACAGGAGCGTGTGAGACATCAGCTATTCAGATTCCACATCCAATCCATCAGAATAGAACTGGAAGGGACCTTGGAGGTCTTCTAGTCCAACCCCCTGCTCAAGCAGGAGACCCTATACCCATGATGGTGAACCTATATCACGTGTGCCACAGGTGGCACGCAGAGCCATTTATGCTGGCAAGAGAGCCACAGGTAAACTTACCTCACTGCGCATGCGCACATCTCACAGCTGATTTTTTTGGCTGGTTTGAGGCCTTTTTCAGTCTCCCAGAGGCTTGAAAAAAGCCTCTGCAGGCTTTGCAGGCCAAATAATAGGCCCATTTTGTAACTTCCTGTAATTCTGTAAGTGACAAAAAGAGCCTATTATTCTGTCTGCAAAGCCTGCAGAGGCTTTTTTTTTCATCCTCTGGGAGGCCAAAAAAGGCCTCAAACCATCCAAAAATCAGCTGTGAGGCACAATGCAGGTAAGGGGG